CTTTCTTTTATTTATATGTTTAGTATTTTAACTCCCACTCCTGAGTGAGAACATATGGTATTTCTTTTTCTGTGCCTGGCTTATTACACTTAATATGATTTTCTCTAAGTTCACCCATGTTGCTGCAAATGGCAATATTTCATCATTTTTTACTGCAGAGTAACATTCCATTGTGTATATACACCATATTTTCCTTATCCAGTCATCTGATGATAGACATTTAGGTTGGTTCCAATTCTTGGCTGTGGTAAATAGAGTTGCAATAAACATGGGGTGCAGGTATCTCTTCAACATGATGCTTTCCATTCCTTTGGGTATGTACTCAACAGTGGAATTGCTGGATCATATGGCAATTCTATCTGAAGTTGTTTAAGGAATCTCCATACTGTTTTCCATAATAGCTGCACCAATTTACAGTCCCACCAACAGTGCAGGGGGGTTCCCCTTTCTCTACATCTTTCTTCCTGGTCTGGCTGTTTCTACTCCAAAAATAGAGGTGTGTGCTTCTAAAGTCATTTTAAATATCCCTATTCCCCAGAATCTTCAAAGATTTTACATAATTAATTTTGGACAGATTGCTGTAGAGGAGATGAAGTTCATATGAAAGGATGCCATAATCTCCAGCCATCTTCTAGACTCTGGAAAATAACTCCTCTCTGATTCCCAGCAAAATTTAATGAAAGAAGAATTGGTTCCTGAGTTCTACTAGTTCTTTGCTGGGAATTTGGAACTCCTTTTTAGTTATAAGTGAAGGCCCTCTGAATCATGTTAATAGAAAAAAAAAAAAAAACTAAGAAAAAATCTCATTTATTTTCTGTTGCCTTCTAAATAACTTTACCTTTGAGGGACAGTAGGTATTGAGCACCTTCTACATACTGTACACTGTGCTAGGCACTTTCAAAAACAGTATCTCTTATTTCTTATTCTCACCATAGCCTTGCCTGGTAGCTATTATTATCCCCTCTTTACAGATCAGAAAACTGGCTCAAATATTTGCCCAGTGTTTAAGAGATGGTAAACAGCAGTGTCAGGATTTAAACCCAGGACATTCCAACCCAGTTTTCCAGGACTTTTCTGAAGTACATACTCTTTCCATACCAACACATTGCCTCCTATACTGAATCACAAATGCCCGTTTTGTGATTAGTCATGAAACCTTATCTGTAAATCAAATGTCTGTAAATACAAATATATATCTACTAGAGAAGCTGTATAATTAAATGTATGCAAAAGAATCCTTTTAAAAATAGAAGACTTTCTATTTAAGGCAATGTTTGACTTTTTTCTAAATTCAAATTTCAGTATACTGAGATTATTTAATGCATGGCTCAGCTCTTCAAGGAAACCATATAAAACAAAATAAAATAATACTTTCTTAAAATTCTGTAAATATGTAATCATAAGAAGCAAATAAAACAAATCTAGTGAGACACATTTTAAGCATTTCAAACATTCCAAACACTGACAAACACAAAATGTGTCTTTATATTTAACCATGTTTAAGCTCCATTCTTCCTTCTCAGTTTACACTAGAAAGAGGGTGGATTTGGGAGGAGGGAGGACAGATAAAGTTGAAAGGGGCAATTATTTTCTTTTGATTTCATGGTACAAAAAATAGTATGCATTCAGAGCAGTCATGAGGTGCCTACATTCCTCAAATGCCCTCCCCACCTAGGGACAGTAATAGAACTGTGATCTTGTGTGTTTCCCTTACAAAAAGAAAGAGAGCTGTGATGGCTAATTTTGTGGGTCAACCTGACTCTCTCTGAGAAGGGATCACAGGCCAAATCTCTTCCTGGAGGTAAATTAGTTTTTAATGAGTACATTTTTTAAAGTTGCCAGAAAAAAAAAGTCAGTTTAATTTTTCTAATTTTCTTGTAAAAGATATACTTATTGATATAATCTTTCAAACACATTCTTCCCAATTGATATTTTTAGAAAAAAGAGGTTAAGGTTTAATTCAGTGTTCAAAGAAAAATTTAAGACATCAGACCATGAAACATTATCATCCTCTCAAGCTAATTCACTTACTTTTCACCTCCACATTCAGCTAATAAGTATATAATCTTTTAAAATGTAATTTATGGCCTGAAAAATATAATGACATCACTCTGATGCTTAACAGATCTTTTAGAATCTAGATCTGATTGTGCTGTCCCTGCCAACCACTGGATTAAGAATCTAAGATTAGTTCCCTAATAAAGCCCATGTTCTATTTTCTACATTTAAAAAAAATGTATTTATTACAAATATTCATGAGGTACAAAGCTGATTGTCCTCCCTCCTGCCCATGATGTGAGGGCCAGATTTTCTACAGTATTTTAAGTATCATATAATTAAAACTATTAATGTGATAGTGATTTTGTGATATCTTTCAGTTTTAGCAAAAATTAAACCAATTTAAAATTTTTAAACATTAATTTTTAATCAGCCTGGACACATTACAATGATCCCCAAAGTCTTCATTAAATCTTTTGATTGTACTAGAATTTTGTTGCATGGGCTACTGCCTGAAATAAATGGATTTTCAGACAGAGCTTACAAACCTTTATATTATAAAGATTTACATGGTAAGTATAGAATGATTATGAGGTCCAAGGGAAAGAAAAGATTTATGCACTATCTTGAAACCTGAGAGAAAAAAGAAAGGAACTTAGAATGTGGTGAAATAATAATTTGTGGCTTAATTCTGCGATGCAAAGTTGAAATAAAAGTGAACTTCACTTTATGGGATAGCTAGGTTCCTGAAAAATAAACTCTGGCAAATCTAATCTATGTTAATTAAGTCCAAGATAGAAAAGATAGCAGCAAAGATATTAAAATAATCAAGGGTATGAAGATACAATTGCAAGTGACCAGAGGTATTTTTCAATGTAATGGGAAAAAGAATAAAAATTCTTTTAATTCTATGAAATTAAGAAAGGCATAGTTAGAATAAAAAATGAGTGCTTCATTAAATCCTAGAATATTTAATTTTGGCTGACAAAATCTATACAATTTAGAAGGTAAATTTGGGTTTTTAAATGGGCCATGCAGTATCACACACAGTAGTAAACAATTACCCCAATATACAGTAAAACTAAAAATATTCCTATGTTAAGAAAAATCACCTTGTTTGAGGAGTACATTCCACAGTGTTTAAGGTTAGAAGCTTCAGTGGAAAAACACTGTCTTCTCTATACTGTTCCACATCTCACCATACTCCCCAAACTTTTGTCCACTGGTAGCACTATCAAAGACCAAAATATTCTGGATTATCTTCCTCAATTTAGCAATGTTTGGGATATACTACCACTGATTTTCATTAAAAAATTGGAAACGGGTTTGTTTAGAATAAAAAGTTAGTAGCCATATTTTAATGAAGAGCATTACAGGGGAAAATACACAAAAGGGTTCTTACTGCAAGGTTCCTAATGTTATTTTTATTTTGGTGTCAAAAGCTTAAAATAAGAAAGATAAAATACCAGAAAACACTGAACTATAATATTCCTTTTGGTTTATAATTAGCTTCTTCCCTAATACAGGTGTGCCTCATGTTTACTACTGATAAAATCCTGAAGTTAAAGTTCAATAATTAATTTTTAAGCAAGAAATCTTCCTGTAATACGATTAGCCATTCTTACAAATTATTTATTGGGAACTAAGAGTGCCTTGTCTTGACTGGGTCAGAGAGTTTGTGCCTGTACGATCTTATTTAGTAGTAGTCATAGCCAATATTTATTGATTACTTACTATGTTCCGTGCACTATACTGAGGCTTACCTAAATAACATTATTTCACCCTGATAACACCTCTGTGAGGTATCTATTACAATTGCCCTCATTTCATGGACAAGAAAATGAAGTCTGCCCAGGGTCACCCAGCTGGTAAGGTGTGGAGCCAGAATTTAAACCAGTCTGTCTCCAAAGGTCTGGTACTTTAACATTTGTCTAAAACTTTTAATAATTCTATGAAGTGAGCAGAACAGACTAAACACAAGGAAAGTGAGTCTTTGGGGACTAACCGATTTATCCAAATAAACCCAGTTAGCAAGGATAGTAAACCCAAGTCTTCTGATTCAGCTTTTAAATTCAGTATTCATTTTACTGTATTAAATATTAGGTTTTCTCAAAATCAGACACGCCTCTTCTCCACAGCAAGAACCCAAACAATTCTCCTTGGTAGCTTAGATATTTCTTTTACTTAATTTAGGAACAAAGTTACAAAGAAAAAAAAAATACTTAGCAGAATCTAACAAATTCAAGTTTATTAGTTCACACAGAAATTGAAACATAGCAGAGCTGATTTACCTGCACATGATAAAAGTACCTGAAATTTTTTCAAAGTGAGTTAGCAGATATTGCAAGAAGCAGTCTAAGGTGATAATTAAAACTGAACTTTGGAGTCTGACTACTCAGGTTCAAATCCCAGCTCTACCACCTACTGATTACAAGACCTTATTCACATTTATTTAGGCTTTCTGTGCCTCAGTTTCTTCATATGTAAGATGGGGATAATAATAGTAGTTACACTATATGGTTGTTGTGAGGATTAAATGATTTAATACATAAAATGCTCAGTGAGTGCCTGGTATATGGTAAGCACTTAATAATTATCAGCTAGTATTATTATTATTACCTTTGCATAATGAGATATGTTTTTATTCAATATGGAAAGCATATTTGAGTCTCCTTTCTCTATTTTAAGAAATAATTATTGCTTCTTTCCATAATTTTTACTTAAAATAAATTCTATTTCTTTTCAGAATACATCACCTGTTTGCCCCTAAGCATTATTTATTGGCCATAATCGACTGAACAAATGCCAGTTTATTTATAGTACATTTAGGCTTTCCTCTCATTAATCATCCAATTTACTGAAAAGAGTCTAGAATTGTATCAATACTTCTACAATTTTATGTGTAGAAATCTACCATTTTATATTTTCAGGAAAATCTCAAGTTATTTCCAGTTTGTCAAGTTTAAGACAAAAATAAAAATAAAAAAGAAACCAATATCAAGAGGAAAATAGAAAATACTTGATATCTGAATCATGTACTTTTGTTGTGTGCTCAATTATATTTACAGGTTACATGGATGGACAACTTGCAATACAATCAGATTCCAAAGCCCAGATTCTAAAAAGTGGAGGCACTACACTTTCTCAGAATAGCCAAGAAGAAAGCAAGGAAGCACTAAAGAATGAAATTATATTTACAGATTCTGATGAATACCTGATATCAACAAGAAAAAAGGAGCCAAAAAGAAAAGGAAAAGGCACTGATTCAGAGAAAGACAAGATAGGAATGGAAGTCAAGACAGAGAATGAAGCTGGAATACCACAAGGACAGGAAGCCCAAGAAAAGAAGAGTGAGGTCAGAATACTGAAAGGACAGGAATCCCAAGTAATAAAGAGTGGGGCCGGAATACCACCAGGACAGGAATCCCAAGTAAAGAAGAGTGACACTGGAATACCAAAAAGACAGGAATCCCAAGTAAAGAAGAGTGGGGCCGGAATACCAAAAAGACAGGAATCCCAAGTAAAAAAAAGTGAGACTGAAATACCAAAAAGACAGGAATACCAAGTAAAGATGAGTGAGGCAGGAATACCACCAGGACAGGAATCCCAAGTAAAGATGAGTGAGGCCAGAATACCAAAAAAACAAGAATCCCAAGTAAAAAAAAGTGAGACTGAAATACCAAAAAGACAGGAATCCCAAGTAAAGAAGAGTGGGGCCGGAATACCAAAAAGACAGGAATACCAAGTAAAGATGAGTGAGGCAGGAATACCACCAGGACAGGAATCCCAAGTAAAGATGAGTGAGGTCAGAATACCAAAAAAACAAGAATCCCAAGTAAAGAAAAGTGAGACTGAAATACCAACAAGACAGGAATCCCAAGTAAATAAGAGTGAGATGGGCACACCACAGG